GAGAAACAGTAACAGGAAACTTGGAAATGGCAGAGATGCTCAATGACTTCTTTGTTTCGGTCTTCACCGAGAAGTCTGTAGGAATACCTAACATAGTGAATGCTAGTGGGAAGGGGGTTGTTTTAGAAGGTAAAATATAAAAAGAACAAGTTAAAAATCACCTAGAAAGTTAGATGCCTGCAAGTCACCAGGGCCTGATGAAATGCATCCTAGAATACTCAAGGAGCTGATAGAGGAGGTATCTGAGCCTCTAGCTATCATCTTTGGAAAATCATGGGAGACAGGAGAGATTCCAGAGGACTGGAAAAGGGCAAATATAGTGCCCATTTATAAAAAGGGAAATAAGAACAACCCAGGAAACTACAGACCAGTTAGTTTAACTTCTGTGCCAGGGAAGATAATGAAGCAAGTAATTAAAGAAATCATCTGTAAACACTTGGAATGTGGCAAGGTGATAGGGAACAGCCAGCATGGATTTGTAAAGAACAAATCATGTCAAATCAATCTGATAACTTTCCTTAACAGGATAACGAGTCTTGTGGATAAGGGAGAAGCGGTGGATGTGGTATACCTAGACTTTAGTAAGGCATTTGATACGGTCTCGCATGATATTCTTATCAATAAACTAGGTAAATACAACTAAGATGGGGCTACTACAATGTGGGTGCATAACTGGCTGGATTACTGTACTCAGAGAGTAGTTATTAATGGTTCACAATCCTACTGGAAAGGCATAACAAGTGAGGTTCCGCAGGGGTCTGTTTTGGGACCGGCTCTCTTCAATATCTTCATCAATGATTTAGATATTGGTATAGAAAGTAAGCTTATTAAGTTTGCAGATGATACCAAGGTGGGAGGGGTTGCGACTAATCTGGAGGATAGGGTAATAATTCAAAATGACCTAGACAAATTGGAGAAATGGTCTTAGGTAAACAGGATGAAGTTTAATAAAGACAAATGCAAAGTGCTCCACTTAGGAAGGAACAATCAGTTTCATACATACAGAATGGGAAGCAACGGTCTGGGAAGGAGTATGGCAGAAAGGGATCTAGGGGTTCTAGTGGACCACAAGTTGAATATGAGTCAGCAGTGTGATGCTGTTGCAAAGAAAGCAAACATGATTCTGGGATGCACTAACAGGTGTGTTGTGAGCAAGACACGAGAAGTCATTCTTCCGCTCTACTCTGTGCTGGTTAGGCCTCAGTTGGAGTATTGTGTCCAGTTCTGGGCACCACATTTCAAGAAAGATGTGGAGAAATTGGAGAGGGTACAGAGAAGAGCAACGAGAATGATTAAAGGTCTAGAGAACATGACCTATGAGGGAAGACTGAAGGAATTGGGTTTGTTTAGTTTGGAAAAGAGAAGATTGAGGGGGGACATGATAGCCATTTTCAGATATCTAAAAGGGTGTCATAAGGAGTAGGGAGAAAACTTGTTCATCTTGGCCTCTGAGGATAGAACAAAAAGCAATGGGCTTAAACTGCAGCAAGGGAGGTTTAGGTTGGACATTAGGAAAAAGTTCCTAACCGTCAGGGTGGTCAAACACTGGAATAAATTGCCCAGGGAGACTGTGGAATCTCCATCTCTGGAGATATTTAAGAGTAGGTTAGATAAATGTCTATCAGGGATGGTCTAGACAGTATTTGGTCCTGCCATGAGGGCAGGGGGCTTGACTCGATGACCTCTCAAGGTCCCTTCCAGTCCTAGTATTCTATGATTCTATGACTCACTTGCTGACTCTTTGGAGAGACCAATACAAAGGTGGACCTCACTGCAGCGACAGAAAAAACCATCACATGCTCTGGGAAAACATATAGATTGTGACAAGGGCACAAGACGACAAAGAATCATAGAATTCTAGAATTGGAAGGGACCTCAAGAAGTCAAGTCCAGTCTCTTGCCCTCTTGGCAAGACCAAGCACCATCTAGATCAGGGCTGGGCAAAACATGGCCCAAAAGCCGGATTCAGCCTGCAAAGCTACCAGATCCGGCCCCCAGACCACCCTGCCAGGCTCTCAGGCACACAGCTGCCGTGGGTTTAAAGTGCAGTCAGGCAAGACTCTGCTCTGGAGGAAGGGGGAGGCTTCATGCAATCTCCCTGCCCGCAGCCCAATTCTCAGCTTCTATTGGCCAGAAACAGCCAGACAACTGGAACTGACCCAGCCTGTCTCTCCCCCTCCAGTAGCTGAGACCCACATTGGAGGAAACAGCCTGCAGCTCTAAGTGACCTGGGGCTTCAGAAGGCAGGGAGCCCAGCCTGCCTTTGGGGGTGCTGCAGGCCAGGAGATATTTAGGTAAGTGCCTCCCAGCCAGAGCCTACCCCTCCCACATCTCAACTCCCTCCTCCAAATTCATCCAAACTTTCTGCACCTTCCCCCCCCTCCTCCCCAGGTCATAACTGCCTCCCACACCTTATACTCCCTCCTGCACCTCTCCTCAGGCCAGAATCCTCTCCTGCACCCAGACACCCTCCCAGGCCCTGCACCACAATCCCCTGACCGAGGTCACAACCCCCTCCTTCACCTAAACTCCCTCTCAGACCTCACATCATCTCCTGCTCCTCCATCCCTTACCCGTGCATCTTTCTGTACCCTGCTTCCATCCTAAACCCCACACTCCCCTTCACAGAAAATTGCAGCCCTTGACCACTTTCCAAAATCTTGACGTGGCCCCCAACCAAAAATTATTGCCCACCCCTGATCTAGATCATCCCTGACAGCTCTCTAACCTGCTATTAAATATCTCCAATGTTGGAGAGTCCACTGGCTCCCTAGGCAATTTATTCCAGTGCTTAGTCACCCTGAGTTAGGAAGTTTTTCCTAATGTCCAACCTAAACCTCCCTTGCTGCAATTTAAATCTATTGTTTCTTGTCCTATCATCAACAGACATAAGGGAGGTGCTTCCGCAGGAGCTCCCACCTCCCCATGTCTACCTGTGTTGCTGCCTCAGTATCAGCCAGCTCCTGCCTACCACCTCAGCCTCGGATACATGGTCAGCTGTGTGTGACCGTGTATATTAACTGATGAGCCCAGAGTCATCAGTTAACTGAGTACATGGTTACACTTTCATATTCCTAGTTGCACTTCAGGAATTGGTTCAGTGATCTACCTACTATATATTTGCATTTCTCTGTGAGTCGGTTAGTTCAAGAACTCCTCCTCCATGGTAAGAGCTAGAATCACCAAATTCAGTGTACAGCTTTCTCTTAACTTAAAGCAAGGTAAAGGTTTGGTTCTACCAAGAAGATGGAATGTGCCTGGAATGGGATTACTTCTCAGAAAGCCATACAGAAAAGAGACAATCATCGGCAGTGCAAGAGGCTGGATGGCACACTCCCAAACCCATGGGGGATTTCTCAGCCCTGAGCCTCTCACACCCCAAGAAGCGTAAGGTTGGGAGGGGAGGGCTGAAGCTCTCCCCTCCCCAATTCCTACAGGAACATTGCTGGCCGTTTTTCTTCATCAGGGAGTGAGGAAAAAGTGCAGAGTTTACTGCATTCTTCACTGGCTGGGGAACACACAGAAAAGATGAACCTACACCTGCCACAGGTCTTTAAGGGAATGGCCAGTTAGATTAACATGTTGACTAACAGGTTTTTCTGTGTGGAGATGTCTGACAGCTGATTTGTGGGCATTAATTCTTTGGCAAAGTGACTGAGCAGTTTGTTCAATATACTGGCCAAACTAACTGTCCATTCCCTTAAAGACCTGAAAACATGTGTCTGTCTTCAAAGAGATTTTAATACCTGATTGCAGTGGGAGACTTTAGAACTTGTATTTTTGCTTAAATTCAACAAGTTGCGAATGAGCCTTAATAAAGATGCTAATGACCTTACACATTACAAAGACAGCCTCCCCACCTTTTGACATTCATAGTAGCTCCAGATTAGCCAATTATTGACTTACAATAAGCTAGTTCCTTCTCCCTTGTTTCTTCCTCACCCCCACCTTCTGTTCTAGTAGCTGATTTGTTAGTTTATAATTTGTTTACTTTCTTCATTGTATTCCTTTCTTATATATGGTTATGCCCAGGGCTCGCCGAACCGCGGCGAGCCCTGCTCGCCAGCCACGCTGTCCGGTGATCTGCACATGTGCAGATCGTTCTGCGTATGCACAGATTGCCCGAAGCCAGCTCTTCTGGGTTGCAATCTACTCGCCACAGGTGAGTAGATTGTATTATTTGTCGAGTCCTGGTCATGCCAATTCACTTTCAGAATATGATCTGAAGAAGTGAGTCTGCCCCATTAAAGGTCATCACCTAATAAACTATCTTGTTAGTCTTTGAAGTGCTACATAATTTTTTCCCTTTTGTTTCAGACAGTATGCCAAACATACTGTGAAAAAATGTTAAATCTACCCTAAAAGTAGGTATGGGGGATTTCCATCATAAAGCCCTCTATCTCTAGAAGGAAAACAGCAACAGGAATCCTCCCGATTTCAACGAGACAATATCAGCAGGTAGTATTCACACAGCTTCCTCAGTTCTTTGCCACTCACATGGCTACCGGAAAAGGGCACCTAGGGCAGATTGCCAAACGTCGGCATTCAGAAACGCTACATTAAAGCCCTGGCTTAGCGGAAGGAAGGAGGGAAATGCAGAACTGGCTTCGCACGGGACGTGGGGGAGAAACTCCTCATGAAGACACAGTGGAGGGAGACAAATGGAGACGTGTCTCCTCGCCTTAAACACTTTTCCATTAACAGAAAAGGCGCCCACTCAACCCCTACCCCCCAAACCTGACACGTCCCCCTCAATCTCTGCCCCTCCCAAATCTGACAGGTCCCCCGCTTCACCTCGAGCCCTTCTCTGACTTCTACTCAGGTGACTTCCCAAGGTCCCATTTACCCACCACAGCCCTCCCAGGCGCCTTCTTCTGGCCCTCTCACCTCCGACCCCAGCGCCCCCGCCAGGTTTCCCCCTTCACACTATCCCCCGCCCCCCCAGCCCAGGCAGCGCCTTCCCCAGGCTGCTCTCTTCCGCGGGCTGAGCCAGCGCTCACCATCGTCCAACTGGGTGCAGGCCGACAGGGCCAGGCTCACGAGCAGCAGCAGGAGGGCGAAGGCCCAGTCCGACGGAGACGCCTCTCTCACTGCGCCCCGTCTCCGTTCCCTGGTAGCAGCCATCTTTGCAGGCGCGGGGGTGATGGGGGTTCGCAAAAATGACGTGGCGAGGCTCCGCCTGTTCGTTGCTAGGATGTGAGGTTCCGCCGCGATGACGTATGCCCCAGACGCTCGCTACGCATGCCCGGCGCACGCGGAGTAGACTCCTCCTCACGCCTTCGTGTGAAGGGGCGGGAAGACTCCGCCACGGCAGCTGGACCACGAGTGCGCACGTGTCAGACAGGGCAGTACGCGGCGCTGATTGGACCGTTCTTAGGTGGCGCGCGCGGCCCGCCTGTGAGGGAGTTTGCGTCGGGGGAGGCGCTCCTGCCGCCGCTCCGAGAGGGCTGTAGCAGCCGTCTGGGAGCTGGTCCTGGGCTTCGCCTCAGGATCCTGGCGCTCCGTGCATCTTAGTGCTGCCCCGACAGAGTTGTGCCTTTCCGAGGTTGTAAGTGTCCGCTCTCCCCTCCCCGTCCACGCTGCCAGCTGGACTGTGGGGCTGCTCCCTTCCCGTTCTCACCGGTGTGACGGTATCTTTCAAAGGGAAAGGGGACAGCACGTGGGCCGGGGCTCAGTATTCTCGCCTCTCCCCGGGCATTGTGCCCAGTGTAGGGCTGGCCCAGGTCAGTAATACTCCTTCCCCCCCCCCCCCACACACACTCTCCTGCACTCCGCTGATCTAGTTAGCAAAAGCAAACAAGACAAATGCCAAAAAAATAAGGGTGGATAGGACGGGGCTTAAAAAGGGGCTGTCCCAGCCCAGCTGGACAGAGGGAGCGTCCTCATGCTTGTAGCTCACAGGCTGCAGGGGTAGACTTGGGGGGAGCAAGGAGAGATTCATGCAGCCTGTTGCCCTTCCCTTGCCAATAAGGGCTGAGCTGCAGGAAGGAGAAGTCACCTGAGCACAAAGTTACACAAACGGGTATGCTAAGTCACTGCAGAACTGAGGCCCTAATTTTACATTGCACCTTCTACAACCCTCATCTCGCCAATGATAGGGATAGATTTGCAGAGTAAAAAAAATCAGCAGACAGCTGAGGCACTGTAATCAAAGGACAGCACAGCTGTTTTAATCTAAAAGGTTCCTGTGCAGGTTTTTGAAGTGATCCCTCCACACAAACAGAAGAAGGAACTGGAGAGAGTGAAGAGAAACACAGGCTATGTTGAGAAACAGAAGCAAGCCCCCGAAGCTTTATAAAACAAAACAACTTTATATTGAGTCTACACATACTGAAAGCAAATTCACTACTTTCCCCTTGAACTAAGCAAGTAACACTCTCAGCCTTACAGTCTTCACTAACTGTTACATGTAAATAGCATGTTAGATGTATAAATGCAAATATGTGATCAGCAGTCCAGGATTCTGACTTAGGTGAAAGCTGCATTGGCTATCTAACTGTTAATAGTTGCTGAGAGAGCCCTGAAATTGTGAATCTAGTGTAACTGATTTAGTGATAACCATAGGAATTTCCATTTATCAGTGATCACTAGCTGATATTATCACTATCATTGGCTGACAAAGTACTATTTCACTGTTCATCAAAACATGTAAGAAAGGATATGTTAAGTTCATACAATCTAAGGTAATATCCCCTTTAGGCAGCATGAGATGTGCAGATCTGGGAGAGTACAACTTTTCCTTAGCTCCCAATCAAAGAGCTTTCTAGTTCAGGAACCCTCTACTGTCAATTACAGAAAGCAAAACTCAAACCCAGTGGAATATGCAGCAAGCCTCACTAAGAGGAAGCAAAGCAGAAGACCAGCAGAACATATTTGAATCACATGAAGAGAGAGCAAGCCTAAAGACTCCAAAGAGCATCTGTTCAATCTGTTGTGATCAGTGTCCATTATGGGTAGAGTTTATTTTGTGGGCATAATTTGAAAGAGAATCACCACCTTTTTTCCTCCCCCATCTGAATAATAGATCAAGCTATATCAAATATCCTTCAATAGCTAGTAAAATGACCTGAAGCTGCCAGAAGTATTTCAGAGTTTTGAATCTGTCATTAAGACATGACACTACTTTTTGTCTGTTATATTTTCCCTCAGTACGTTTTATGACTCTTGTGAACATATCCTCTTCTGCTCAAATGATAACATTTTCTATGGCAACTAAAGCATTTATTTATATGGGAAAATATTTGGGATGCATTTCAGCTTCATACGTACAGTAAAACTCCAATAGTCCGGCACTCCTGATAGTCCGGCATCAAAATGGCAAGAGCCTAGTGAGTGAGCTTCGGCAAAAAATGAGTCACAAGGTAACAGCGGCAGCAGCTGAACTGAGCAAAAAGGCTTAAAAAAACTACAACATTACAGTATACTGTATATAGTATGTACAATAAAAAGGGTTAAGAACACGTTATATACAGTATATATATATATATATATATATAACCATCTCATAGTACCTCCTGATAGTCCGGCATATTTGATAATCCGGCACCACCTAGGTCCCATAGGTTCCGGATTATCGGAAGTCTACTGTATTTTGTCCTTTTTGGAAAGAGTTAATCACACTATTGGCTTTTGCTTTTCATTCCATCTTCTACTCCATTGTTTCTTTCAGACAGAAATAGGGAAGAGAGCTGGCTCATACAACCAGCCACCTTTTTATAAGTGAGCATCAACTACCCCCTTAGACCACTTTGTGTCAAAATCCCAGGAAGACAATACTTATAATATACAAAAGGAGTAAGAGTTTATTTGGTGGCACAATTCATTTAACTTTTCCTTTAAGATCAAAGAGGTTACAAGTTGGCATTTGAAAATTGAGGAGCTGGTCATGACATTTTCAAAAGTACTGGAGATTTTCATTATTATATTCTCCCTGGGAAAAACTGTATCTGATCTTTGCTAGGTTTATAAATGGAGAACCACAGGAAATGTACTGAATTCTTAAATATTTGCAGTCTTATGGAAAATAACCAAGAATAGCAAAGAACTTTTCTGAATGAGGTATTCTAAATTGTTAAATCTCCCACACAGTTTATTCATAACATACATTGGAGTGGACAATAATTTGTGAAGGGGGACCACTTCAGAAATTCCTGAAGTGGTCCTGGGCTGCCCGGAAGGAGCAAAGCCAGGAGACTTCACTGCCCACAAACCCTGATTGGCCTAGGGGAGCAAGTGAAGTCTTAGTCCCCTCCCCTGTCCCCACTCTGCCAGGGGCATACAGCACCTAGAATTGCCAGCTGCTTTGAACATGCACCTCTGTCCCCAGGTCCTGACTGGCCTGGGAGTCAGAGCAACAGGGCAGCTGTGGGCCAGGAGCCCTTTCAACTGCTGCTATTTAAAGAGTTCCCAGCTCTGGCTCCAGGAACTGAGAGCCCTTTAAAGAGAAGCAATTTAAAGGGTTTGTGCCTGTTGGGCAGCTGCTACTATGTGGCCTGGCAGCCCCCTGGAAGGTGTGAGCCCTTCAAATAGAAGCAACTGAAAGGGCTCACGCCTCCCTGGCTCTGCTGCTAATGCGTTGCCTGGCAGCTACCCACAAGTCACGAGCCCTTTAAATAGCAGCAAGTGAAAGGACTCGCCTCTACCCCACAGCTTCCAGGCAACGCATTAGCAGCAGAGCCGGGAGATGCCACTGGCCGGATCAAAGTGCTAGGCTTGCCAAATCTGGCCCACTGACAGCCTCTTGCCCAACCATGACATACAAATTAGATACAAATTAGAAAAAAAACAGCAATAAAATAAGATGATGTAAGCCTGTTTTGTACAAACTAAGGAATTAATTTGAAGTGACTTTTAAAACTAATATAATGACAAAATAAAAGGTGAAGTTTCAATATTTTATTCAAGTTGGAGTTTGTTTATTTCATTGTAAAGTAGTGTCAAGTACAGCATTTTGGGGTCTAATTCCACACAAAATGGAAGACTCTAAAAATGTACCCATTAAATTGCTAAAAAAAAAGTGGTAATAAAACAAAAGTCCATTTTAAATTCAAAGTGATGCCACTATGTGATGACAATTACAAGGACTCTTCCCTGCTTATGGCTCTATTTTACAAGCTTTTCCATATTTAGTGCAAGGGAAAGGAACCACAACACAAAACAAGTATTATTGACTGAGTCACATCAAACCTTTCCCATATCAAAATTATACAAGGTGAATAATCTAAAGCATTCTGAAGACAATAGGTGTCAAATAACTAAATAAGACAAACAGTTAATGAAATAGTTTTGCACACTCCATCATAGACTGAAACTTTGATAAGTTAATATCCAAAAACTATGCTTCATGAATTAAGTGTTCACTATGGTGAGTTGCAAGTTTCAGTCACAGTTTCTTTATACCATTTGTCTGTCATTATATAGCCATTATTCTGGAACAGGTAATCAATACCTGCATATCCCTTGTAAACTCATAATTAGCAGCTGTGATGGGCAATGAGCCTGGAATTAGGAATTTTTTTAAAATATTTTCTTCTCAAAGAACACTTTAAAGCTTAGCTGTCTTTAACCAGGTTTTACATGACTGATACATAACAATACTTGCATCCCGGACATAAAACATTGAAAGGTTCACTAAATTTTGAAGGTAGCTATGCCGTAAAGTATTTTCAAATTAGTAATCATACAATCTCTTTTTATGCTTCAAATTCCAATCCTAGACCAAGTTTGTGTCCACCTGCATTGACATTCTTGCCATCCAACAAAGCCGACAATGTCAGTTTGATACCTGAATAAAAAATCAAAGAGAGAGAAGATAAAACCTGGAATAGAGGTACCACATAAAATATGATGTGTATATATTTTCCTTCTTTGATTTGTTGGCTGGTTATGGTATTTGACTGTATGGTACAGTATTTGACTACATGTAAGGACCGTTCTTAAAATAAACTGGTAAAAATGCATCCACTGCTACAGGCAGTCTATCAAAAGAAATAATAATGAACAACAACAGAGGACTAAATTCTGATGTTTATTCATCTGTATGGTACTTTGAGTAATTCTATTGATTTCAGGGGGACTAATGGCACAGTAAGGTGTACTACTTAATGCGAGTGTGAATGCCTATTATGTCTATCCAACTTTTTAAAACATTTTTAGAACTATGGATTAATCGTGCAAAATGCAAAAGT